CTTTCTTTCTCACCTCAAATCTCCCCTGGCATCCAGCTCACCTTTTCCAACATTTCTCAATTACTTACTCATTCTGCCCCACATTCTGCCACCCAGTTATGGATTGCCAGTAATTTTATGGATCTGTTGGAAAATAAAGCCTCCCACTTCATCTCTGGTAAAGCTGCATGGCCATGTAAGCAAGAAGGGGTTAGAAAGGGCCAGGACTTGTAACCTATTCATTTACAAGCAGGAACATTTTCTAACACACATAGCCAAGGGCAGCAGTCCCAACAATGTTGAAAGGCCACCTTACAGTTCACTGAAAATGTTAATGCTCAGTGATGCATACCAGATATATATGGATCATTAAGTATACATAAATAGAAATACATATATATTCAGATACATACATGTGGGTGTGTCTACAAAAATATATATTTAGCAGTACAGACAAGATTAATGATTCCCATCTATAAATGAGTGTTCACACACATACACACATAATGAGTCTTCTAAAATGATGCAGGGCTGTGAAGCAAAAAGGTTATTTCGCTTAATGTAGGTTTGGAGAGATGCTTAGCATGGCAGATGAAGTGGCAGGAGTAATAATTATGAGTCAGAGATGGAAAAACATAAAGCCCTTCTCTGGACCCATGAAAACATCTCACGTCTGATTTGAACGGTACAAACTAGCAACTCTGTCAAGCAAATACTGCTTCTGTTTGGATAGATCACAACTGACTAGAAGGGGAATACAATGTAATTCCTTTCCCCTGGTGGACAACCTCAGGCAAGTAACATGCCGTGATTATGGCCTGTCAACACAGGAATGTTAGATCTGACACATCAGAACATGACATCTTTAAAAGATATACTAGTCACCAGTGAGGGTTACAGGACAGAACTTGGAAAACTGCAGATTTCAAAAATACTAGTGCTTTCTAGGCATTTATTGTGTCCTCTAAGAACATGTCTAACCCATCACCCTTAAGCATTATTTTCCTAAAGGATCCTTTGCTTTCTACAGCTGCTTTTCCTACACCTGTGTCAAACACTGAAATGTGCTTTGGTATACAGCTCTACACTAAAGGAGCTAAATGAGAAAAGTGTCAAAACAACCATGAAAGGAACTACAGAAGTGGATGATCAGTCAGGAATGGACGGAGAAGATTGGATTCACCTTGCTTAGGCATTAGTTCCAGGGCAGACAATCTCACTCAGTCTCATGATTCTGTGTCAGAAAACTACATTCCTAACAGGGTCCACTCAGCTTGTAAGGAAATAATTCACTCTTGCACCATTATAGCCATACGAAATAACAGGTTGGAACAGACCTCTGCAAGACATCCTGTCCAACTCCCCACTAAAAGCAGCTCCAATTCAAAGTACACAGAGATATTCAGAACCATATAAAGCCCCTACATGCAAATTTACAGATTTTAACATACTGGCAAGTTCTTTAAGGTTGTCTTAAGACATGTATACACAGCACAAAGCAGAGAAGGTCTAAAAAGCCTAGGATACCCATACAATAAAGACAGATAATGCAACCGCTCACATAATAGCCATGAAGTGGTATGAAATTCTGTGGTAAAGTGGTTGCTGCTCCCTCCAGCCCAGAGAGCCCCTCACAGTGTATCACACAAAATAAAGGCTGGGAAAGTCATTCTACTGATATACTGATTTTAATAAGATAGTATTATGATAATAGCGTTAATAATGCAATATGTTAGTAATAGTTGGAGTATAATGACTATTTAATATGCATTCCCCTCAGAATATTATTTTTTGGAATTAGTTGAACACAGACCACTTTGATACAAATCAACGGAAGAAATTTTCCCTAACAGGAATCAGCTGAGACCACTAGATGAAATATTTTGCATTTTCCAGGATGAAAAACAAATATTTAAAAGCCACTAGCTACCTAGTTTGGCAGTATACAAATATGACCACAGTTTTGGTCTCTCTGCCTCAGCCCTGCTTCTAGTCTAAGAGCTCCCACTGACCCCATCATCTGCTGGGAGAAGCTAATCCCAAACCCTTGTGCTCCTCTCATCAGATTCTTGAAATCTTTGGGATTTCTATCCACAAACACAAATTCCTTTCCTCCAACCCACTGTGTGTTATTTTGGTTCAGAGGATGGCCAGTAGCAATGGTAAGGCATTGATTTCTTCCACAAGCTCAGCATGATCCTACACTGCCCTTATTTATTAGTTCACTAAAATTCTCATTGTGAGAAATACCTAAGTGATCTGCATAGAAATGGTTTGCATACAGGCTTTATAAATGAGCTCTTTCCTCCTCAGCTCCTTTTATGCTATGGATAGGAATTTCTTTGAACATTTATTGCAAGTATAGTGTGAAATTTCTTTGTACAGCTTCTACAGACTATTAAGAATAGTTTTTAAAACTGCTAATGATGACAGTAATAATAAAAACAATAGCAATAACAATAGAAATAGCAATAATAATATGCCTGCAAAGATTTCAAAAGAAAAAGTCAGCTCTCATCAAAGCTAATACAGAATATTCAGGAAGATTCCTACATTCTCCACCAGAAGACTACAGAGATATAAATAACAATAACCTTAGATTTATAATGCATCTTTCATCTCAAAATAAAACTGCATTGATTTATAAAGTAAATGGGCTAAATCCACAGCTAGTTGCAACTGATTGGCTCCATTGATTTCAATGAAGGTGCTGATGTGCAGATTTATGTGAGCTCAGATCTGTCTCTCTGCACGTGTGTCTGCATGTGTCTGCATGTGTGTGTGGCTGGAAAGCAACACACATTTTGTATTGCATAAAGGATTTCACAGAAAAACACTGTATTAACTGACACAGAAAGTGACACATTATCACCACATTTGGAGAAAATGCATAGAGTGAGTGAACAGAATTGCAGGTTCTAATCTTTAGCTGGGAATTGGCATATATTTCCCCAACAAGATGCTCACAGCAGTCTTGTGAAAAGGGTCACAGGTTTATCATATGCTGTTGCATTTTGATCTTTGCAAAATCAGGGACAATGTTTGCAGATAGCAAGGCAGCAGATGCACAGATATATTCTTCTACACAAACAAGTACTACACTTTTAGGAAGAAAAAGCCAAAGCTGAGGCATCATTTTCGAATAAAGGAAAAACTAGCAATGTTACCTCTACTCCAATAAAATCTCCACAGCTGTCTGTGACAGACACAGAGGCTGCCTCATTCTGCCCCAGTACTGTTTGGGGAAAAAGCATAGGAGCTGCTTCTTTGCTTTATATAAAAGCATAAAAGATAACCATAATTACTTAGCCTGCCCTTCCTAAGACATTTTATCACAGGATATTTGGATGTGCTATACGGGAGTTGGCTATGCCTTCCTGAGCCCCCCAAGACTACAGCACTAAAACATTTCTTCTTTCATGGTGTAGATGGCAAAGAAGCCCTTTCAAATGACCCTTTGTCAGAAAAGCAGAAGAGGATTTTCCCCCAGCCTCTTCCTTGCGCCTAAGATGAGCTCAACTGCAAGTACAGACTGCTCCTCAACACATAGTCACTTCTGTTTGTGTAAAGTCGATGGAGATGGTTTTTGAAAGGCATAACAACACAAATACAGTTGGAATAAATTTAAATCACTAGCAGATATGTCCAACACACACAACTATTACCTTGTCCAAACTTGCACAGAAACTGATAACAAGCATAGCCAAGTCTGCTCTCAGTTTGTCACTACCTGTGACACCAGCAGTGAGATCCACCTACACATTTCTGCCACATAAGTAGGCAGATGGACTGAAGCCTAGAAGAAAATAAATTTGGCCCGAATCCCTTTTCTTTTGCAAGTAGTGAAAATCTGCAGGAACTTCAGGTGCAGATGTAGAAAAGCAGGCAAATAAAACTGACTGCAAGATGAAATTTATAATCTAACTCCTGCCCCTGAACTGGAGTGATGCAACAGTGTCTGATGTGATTTACCAAAGGCACCCCTTCATGCCACTGCAAATATGCTTCACAGGCATGCCTCAGTCTAAGGCATCCTAGCCACCTTGCTTTCTGATCCTTTTCAGAAAGCTGTTCCAACCAGCTCAGAGAAAATACAAGTAAGAAGTTATCTCTGCAAGCAATGAAGGCAGTGCATCTAGTCCTTACTTTGTTCAGAATCCCAGAGCAGAGTGCTCTGATCTGCTTTGTGAAAGAGGTTGGATGACTCCTTGAAGTTGCCTTTGAACTTAAAAACATCCCTCACTCCCCCAGTTATTGAACTCAGATCCTGGCCTGTTCTTGTGCCAACATTACTCCACCAGTTCCACCAGCCTTATGCAGCGCTTCAGCACTCTTGGGAGGAGGAAGATCCAAGCACCTTCAGTGCCAGGCCAGGCTCTTCCTTCCATGGTATGGGTGAACATACTACACCCCACAACAGGAAGGTTATTCTGAGCTCAGCTCTGCATATGCAAAATGAGAACACTTTTAGCTTGAGCTAAACCCAGATGTACACCCCACAATGCAGACAAGCAAGCAGTCATCTCAAAAGACAGTCATGCTGCACAGCTGGAGCAAGCACAGAACTGACATTAGGTGCATCCATACAGATCTCTGACTTCTGAAATGCTCTGGACCATCAGATCCAAGAAACACAATCTCAGCAGTAATTATAAGAAAGGACCACTGGTTGTCACTAGGTGTAACCTGACCAGGGCTACACCACTCCCCAGAGAAATAGATTTACCTACTGTGCTTTGTGAACTCCCAAGTTACAGCTTGGGATCATCTCTCCTTGTTATATGCCCTGTCATTACTGGAAAGAGTTTGGCTCCGTCATCCATTTGCCACATGATGCATGGACATGACAACCAGGTCTGTGACCATCAGCAAACCCCACAGAACAGCACCATGCCTTCATGCAACACTATATGTGTAGCTACACAAGGCTGCACTGCACACCATGAGGCTTACCATGCACTTGGGGATCTCCATGCACCCCTTCTGCCATCACAATTTAAAATAGGAGCTGCCATACTTACGTCATTATCTGGGTCTCTATGCCAGGGTCTACAAGGGATCCATCCACAAAAAGTGGTGTTGATGTGAAACTGTATTTACTCCAGGATCTTCCCTCATCAAAACTCACCCTGGGATAGAAGCAGACAACATTTATACACACAAAGATATTTGCTCTAGAGCAACTGCAGCAATTAATGTTGGCTAAGGTCTTAAAAATATTAGCTCTAGAGCAACTGCAGCAATTAATGTTGGCTAAGGTCTGCAAGCTCCAGCAGTTAGATTTATAGACAAGCACCAATCTTTGCCATTTCCCAGCCCACTAATTCATGCTCTTCATGTACTTTGAAAGATCAAAGCCTTAGAAAGCACAAATACTGGCAATAAGGACATGGATATACTTGATGCAGCTGTAGATCAGACCTCAAGGGATCAAGAGGCATTGCCAAGACCTGTTTCTGGATCTGGAATAGCACCTGGCATGAGGCATTACTCAGAGCATAAGCAGCTCTGGCCTGAATGCATGAAAATTGCTATCACAGCCACAGGATGTTTTGACCCATCCACGTATCAATGCCAAATGGCATTAGCTACAACCCCTCTAGCCCTACTAATATTTCTTTGCATGCCATTTTAGAGGTGGTCTCCATTTTACAGAGATGGAGGAAGGAAACCAAACTGAGCCACATTCAATGGATAGTTTAGGTGATCGTTGCCTGTTACAGTTGAGCAGCAAAGCTGTATGCTGGTTAAAACTAAAGCATTTCCCCTTTTAGTGGCTCAGTGTTCATGCTTTACCTGACAAACTAGTGTAATTCAGTGGCTTTTGATCTGTCCCTACCCACAATTACGGGACACCTTACTTTCCATTTTTATCAAAGAGCATGCGTAACCTAACCCAGCTGACAGGGTCTCGGTTGAAGTAGAATTAGTACAGTGAGCTTTTAGATGAGCACAGGAGGGTTAGCAAACCCTGCTGTAAGCTCCACCCCAGCAATCACTCTGATAACTGCAGAGGAGTATGTGAATGAATAGTCTAACTGATCACACCAGCAGACAGACTGGGTGAGGACTATGGTAGCCTCTGCTTTAGTGCCTCTTCCCAATCTCCCTCATGGCTTCCCCCCCAATCCATGGCCCAGGAGTCTCTCTGACGCCATAGGAGTGCCAGGCTCAAGCCTTGCCCATACATGGGCCTGTGTGGCCAATGTCCCAGCCTGGACTCAGCCCATCCCTGTCCCTGCTGAGCTGCCCTCTGTCCAGGGCTGGGGCTGACCCTGGCTGCTCTGCTCCTGGATGGGGCAGTGGGAGGGACCATAGCTGCCAAATCCTGTTCTGCTGCCCCAGGGACCTTGGTGGGCTCCTGGCTTCCCGGCCCTCGGAGAGCTACCAGCCCTCATGTCCCTCTGACAGTCTGTGACAACAGTGCAGAAAACAGCCAGGGGAGGGTGTGTACACTCAGCTGCTGCTGCAGCAGGAAAGACAACCTGCAGCCATCAGCACCCAGCTCCCGGAGCTGCTGTCCATGGACACTGCTGAAAGCAACCAAGCTGCTCTCTGCTCCCACACTCTGCACACAATTGCTCCTCAAGAATCTCTGCCCAGAATTTCAGCTCCAAATTATAACAGCAAAGGAAGAACACACAAAGAAGCACAAAAGTTTATTGGCTATAAAATTATTTGATCCTTTCCCATCAGGGCCATTATAGAGTTCTCTGTAAGTCTGCAAGGTACCTGAGCCATGAAGGCTGACAGATTAATCTCAGTGGACATAACCAAAGATATATGGCACAAGCTTCTTTGAATAGCAGGAAACACTTCCCATTTAAAAGTGAGCATTAAACCAAATTTGCCTTATTTGGGAAGGGATGGAGAGTGTTGAACGTGTGCATGTGCAGACGCTTCTGAGCGCCTGAATCTGTCTAGAAGGGTCTTGGTGGAAACTGAATCCTCCCCACTCCAAGTAGGTAGCATCAGGGACACTATCTGAGATGGCAACAAAGGACCAGGATGCCACTGTAGTATGTATTACAATCCATGGGTTAGAACAACCTCAGATCTCTGGTGTGGAAAGCCAAGGTTGGCAGCCACTATTCCATAACTCTCTGTCTCTCACATCACCTATCAAGACACCTTCAATGCACATCTGCCAGAATAGGAAGTTGACTTTAGACTAACGACAGTAAACTGAGAGTACGACAGCATACAAAAATATTATCTGTCCTAAATCTATTTATTTAAATGTATGTATCTTCCCATGCACCTGTGCATTTGTATGCGTTCTGCTTGCATGCTTATCTCTCTAAATAGCATTTCAGTTTCTGGGGAACAGCATGGTTCATTAGCTTAGCTAAAGTTCTCTCAGCTTTTCAATTATCTGCCCCTCTTTTCTCCAGGATGAAACTTACTGTACAATGTTTCAGCCTGAGAACTAATAGATTTACATGTACCCTTTAATCTATTCCACTCTTGCCAATAAAACAGGTGCCTACTGAGGCAATATGAAGCAAATTCCAAAATCCCTAAGGGGGCAATTTTGGAGGAAACCTGTTGGAGCATATTGATAATAGCTCTAAATCACTATTCATTTAATAGAGTGGGTGGGCCACTCGTAGTACTGCACATGCCATTCCATGAGGCTTAGCAGAAAGGGAACACAACTGAAATGAACCTTTGCAAAGCAAAGGTGAACTGAGCTCTCAGCTCCTATGGAAAGTCAACCTGTGACCAAATAATTACCAATATCTAAGTACAGGTACTTGTACGTAACGTGCTTTTTATATCCAAAGACCTTTCACAATTAAAGATACAACTAAAACAGTTACAGCTGGATTGAATAATACAGTAATAATGGTTAATACATGACTGGCATCTCTTACAGTAAGTGGCTCACCTTTCACTCTTCCAGAGCTCAACTTGCCATAGTCTCATGTTCCTAATGCTGGTGACACCAACTCTGGACCAGCACACACTTCTCCTGCCTTTACTCATATTTGGTTTGGTCTAAAGGCTTTGACATAGTCCTGACATCCTCTTTCCTGAGGGCACTTCAGTTACAGTCATGACAACAGAGCTACCTATCAGTGGCTTATATTTCTAGTCACACACTAAGACATTCTAACCACAGACTGAAAGTTGGAGTCTGCCCTGTTACTACTGTCCTCTATGTGTCCAGTTATGGAGGCTGACAAGATGCTAACAAGAGGGTACTGGCCCAGGCTAACCCCTGGCCCTGACTCACTACATATATATAACTGCAACAAGTTTGTTTGTGATAAAATAACCAACCCATTTCCTGAACACTAGAAAACAAGACAAAGATTGCAACCCTCATTTTGCATATAATTGTAATTCTAAATGGAGACACAGACCTCTTGAAGAGCACTTGGTTCCCCTATCCTAGAAAAATTACAAAGCCTTAGGAATGAGCCAATAGTCCTGTGGTTACCAATCCATTATCACACCAAAACTAAGGCAGCCGTTTCTTTAGCTCAGGTGGTAAAGAAATATGCTCAAATGCAACATATTCAAACTTTTATAGAAATCTATGATGCATTCATCCCAGAGTTATCTGTCAGGTCAGAAATATAAAGTCCAGAAGCTTTTTATATTGAAAAAGTAGCCATTGATTTTCTTAAGGTACATCTCTAGAATGTTAGCTTGTGATGGGTAAAGACAGCCCCTCTTCAGGTGTCCAGATTCAAAATAATTGCAATTTCACTGAAGGATTTTGTACAAGAATGACTCAGGTAGAGGAGACCTTAACAGCTCATCACTGCTGCCAAACACCATTGGTTTTTTTTTACTGTTTCACTGAAGGCCACATTTCCTGTTCTGCAGGAAAAGCATGTGATAGACATGTGCTTAGCACTGTCAAGCTGAAACAACTCAATATTGCAGACAGGATCACAAATCCTGTCTCTGAAAGCTATTTCTAACTAATTTACTTCTAAATGGCATTAGAATCTGGGTGGGTCAATCCATTAGACATGCCCCTCTTTCACTTGGGACCAGAGACTGGAGTGATGCTAACATCATACCCACTCTCTGTAAACAGTGTTAGTTCTGGATTTCAGAATGCCTCTCTCCAGTGTTTAGTTGGTGCAGGAGTCAGAGGGGCAAGAGTGAAGGAGAGGATAATTTTGAGTGGTATCTTTAGTGTTTAGACTCTTATAACCCATTTATAGCAAAACAGCATCTTCAGCTGAGAAATCTTTTTGCCCCATTTCACCTCTAGCTATATACAGTTGCTACCACTCTATGTCTGGAAATTGATAGTTGAATACTGTAGGAGACAGAGATATTAGAAACATATCTCTGTTGTTCTTATCTACACCTACTGCCGTTTCTTCTCCCTCCCTTTATCTTACTAGATTAATGTTAAATTCTGTGAACAAAATGCAGAAGTGACAGATACATCCTGTCAGAAATATCTGAAGCACAAAGGATGACTTCTTACTTAGTATATATGTGTCTGTGGGAAAGAAATCCCACCTGGAGGCTCATAGTACATTACCAGTGCAAAGAGTAATTCATATATATGTGTGACTATACATAGAGCCATTATACTTATTAAATGATATGATAATAATTATATTGATCAACAAAACAAAAATGGTGGTAAAACACTGATAAGAATTACTGCATTTACTCATTTTGTAGACACTAGCAGATGTTGACAAGGTGATGCCACATCTGTCAGATTATCCCCATCAGAAACCCTTGTCAAAGTAACCAGTTCCCTTACCACATGTGCCGGATGGGCACTGATGTGTGTTTCATGGCCACTAGTGCCCCTCCCCAGTCCAGAAACCACACGTTGTATTCCTCCTCGAAGATCTGCAAACAAATTAGGAACTGCATGAGTGCCCCGCTCCATTGGAAAGAGAAGAGTCAGAAGAAGAATAGCAAAAGGCTCCATGCTTTCCTTCACTCTGCAAAACATACCTGTCTCCAGGAATTTCCACCATCAGAAGAGATGAACACGCCAACATCAGTGTAGGAAAGCTCAGAGCCAATATTGCCTGCAACACAAGTGTCAAGACATTCTTGTATGGATGAACACAGAACAGCATTTTTCCGAGCTACTAAAATTGCTTGGCCTGACCACTGCTTTTTCGCAGTTCTTGATTCTATTCCCACCTGAAAACATCACCATGGTCAGGTGGCGACATTCATTTACAGGAGCTGTGACATTTCATCTGAAAACATCACCATGGTCAGGTGGTGACATTCATTTACAGGAGCTGTGACATTTGAAAATTGACACTGGGGAGAAACAGTATTACAGCTTATCTTCCAAACAGATAGTATTACCAATAATTGCAAGTCACTAAAGGCAGGCTTTTTCTAGGCAAGGACCTACATACTCAAAAATCTGTGTATGAAACCTCATGCCTATTTCATGCAAATCATCAGAATGGCAGCAGAATAGCAGCCACCATCCCTGGCTACCAGATATTTCATTCCATACACATTTTTCTCTGAACTTCTAGTCTTTGTGTTCAGGCTGGTGAGTTGCATCTCTGTGATCTGCCAGTCTTTATTAAGGGCAAGGTAATTACCTCTTATCTCTGTTTCTGTGTAGAGGAGACTATCCAAAGGGAAGTTACTCATACAGCTGAGTTTAAAGGTGAAACCCGTACCCCACTGAAGCCCATGATTATGAGGCTAGAAAGTCTACTCAAGATTCTGTCAAAATGCTCGAACACATAACTGATCTCAGAAGGTGAAGTCAACTAAACAAAGATTCTTACTAGGTTTATGAATGGTTTGCAATTGACAAAGACTATGAGTAATGAAATGTAAGTTCCACTTGAATAAAATCTTGTTTGTTTAGGTATGAACCATACCCAGGGGCAGAAGTGGTTCAGAAAATTAAGGTGGGTCAAATGACTTTGCAGCAGACACAGACACCAAACTGAATAGCATTCTAGAAAACATTGCGTGTTCTCGCTGACCGAGCTGTCCCAGATTCTGAGTTTAAACTTACTGGTTACTTGATATGGTTCTCAATTTTAGTCTTGTAATTTCCATTATGATGGAAAGTGTTCTGCTTGCATCCTTACAGGGTGAACTACTATGTCTTCACCATACATTAGGGAATGGATATGCAATTGCAAAGAGAAGCATCAACCTCAATCAGATGTAGAGAAAGGACAGCAGAACACCATTTGGAGACACTACATCAGAGCTTGAAACAGTTTTTTCCAAGGTCCCTAACCTGAGATAGCAGAGATGATCTCACATCTTACAGAGATGATAAACCTTATTACAGAGGAAATAATGAACTCAGACTAAATCCCCAGGTCTCTGGTACCCCTGAGCATCCACCACTAGTTGCACAAGAGAGATGCCTAATATCTGAAAAATTTGTCCTAAATAAATCTTATTATATTATTCCCCAAACTTGCCTGAGGTCAGCATCTTGCTCCTGCTTTCAGAGTTAAAACTGTCACAAGCACTGGGCTCACTGAACAATGCAGGTCTGCACTAAATTAATTTTTCATTGCCTCCCCACTTTCCAAAGCACCCAATGATTCAGAGTGACCAACTGCTTTAGATAGGGCTGCAAGGAAAATCTGATGTGAGCAACCATACAGGTCAGTCTATAGGGATGTCCAGCTTCATGAGGATAAATCTACTGTGTTGGTTCAAAGGCCTTTTTAGCCCAGGGTCTTATCATGGGTGAAAGTCCTCAAGAATTAGAACCTGATTTAAAGGCAGAACTGTAAGTTTTGTATCATCATATTTTTGAATACTGAAATAGAAAAAAGCAACTTTTCAAGGCAAGGAAAGGGAGCAAAGTGGTGAGATTTTGTTGCCATCACTTATTTATGTCTGTTTTTCCGTACAAACGAGTCCTATTACTTCCCTCATTCTCTCCATCTAGTTTCAGCTACAGGGATTCAAACCCCATGAAACATAACTAACTCCCAAACAAGAGGATTTGGCAGCAGTACAATTAGATACTAAAACATAATTCTTCCCTTTGCAAGAATCTAACCTCTATCCTGTATCAAGAGTCCAAGCTTCCAATCATTGCTGGAAATGTCCCACAGTAAATCAAGTAAGACACAGAGTGTCTGAGCAGTCAATGCCTTTGAGAACAAATTGCAGTGCTTATCCTTGAACACATTCACCAACATGGTGAGATGCTCTTGTTGTGAAACTGGTTAGTGGAAACAGATGCGTATATTCCCAACAGGTTAAGCTTTTTATTGTACAAAGCAGTAAGGCAGAAATTATATTCTGGTTTTTAAAGGTTAATTGTTAGACTGGGAAAGCATTCATCCCATGCACTGGCAGCATGAGAAGAACCTAATTTACTAACAATTTAGATCAGTGCCTAGAATCTCACTGTCCTGTTGCCTCTATTTGCTTCCTAAAAGGTTAAAAAAAAGCCTCTGCAATTACAGCACCATGAGTAGGACTTGTTCCTAAGCATCCATCTAGCGAGTGCAACCTGCCAGGAGTGCTGACTTCACTTGGCTATGCATAGGGAGATCTGGAGGTTTAAACCAAATTATCTCACTCCATTTGGCCTGGATCAGTGAACTGGAAATCACATGGTATCTTCCTTGTTGAGATATAAATGTCATGAAGGGAACCTGTCTCTCAGGTTCTGTCTTAGTCTGGCAGACACATAGAAGCACAGAAGGACATGAGAATGAAAAGGGCTGGAAGAAATAGTGTAAATTCCTATAGGCAATATGTTAACATGACACACTTGCAAGCCACTGCTAGGCTGAACAGGACAAAGGAGATAAACTGAGCCTTAGAAAGAACAGTTAAGTTATTTGGACACATTTGAGCATATGTAGGAGCCTCCCTTTGAAGAAACAGAACAGCCTACATGCTTCAGAGGCCAACTTTCAATAGCATCATCCATTTGGAAAGCATTTTGTTAGCCCAGCAGCTCCCACAGAGCTGCAGCAGTTCTGAGTGTGGTTGGTAGCCCTATCCATCCTGACTAGGCTACATGCTGTGTGCAAAGAGGGCCTATGATGGTGGTCAGATTAATTACAGTGGGTCAGCTATTGCCACCATGAAGCATTGTAGCAGGTTGGCATCAAAACATCTCAACTCGCCAAAACACTATTTTGCAGAACAACCCACAGTAACAATGGCCTGTGCAGCACTGATGAAGTGCTGCTAGTCTTGTATCAATACGTGCCATGCACAAGACAGACACTCATGAAATCCAGGCTTTACCTGAGAGACTTTGTGACAGCTCTGTGCTTGCTACTCAAAAGGTGGAAAGTATTGATACTTCCTAGGAGCCCTAGGTACTATTTTCATTCACAGCAGCTCTGGCAAACAGGTAGACATGTACACCAATGGTTGTAACAGTGTTAAGTGAAAGGACTCAGTAATGCCAGTTGGTAAGGATCTGTTGAAAGTGTGGGCTTAGATCCGCCTGACAAGCATTGCCTTTTTTGAACTTGGGGCAATATACCTTCTCCTAGCCCATAGCAAATGGGAGGTAATTGAATTAGCTCAGCACTTGCTGAAACAGAGCTGAAAGCTTTTACACCAACGGAAAACATCTCATATACTCTTAGGCTCCCAGTGAGGTATGGGTGAGTGGTGAGAAGCACTTAAGTTCTCACCTGTTGCCACCAGCAGCCCAGGAGCTGTCTCTTTGCTGGAAATGCTTCCTGAAGTGTATGGATTCTCTGAGAGTTGCAGACGTAAGTGCAATGAGCAAAAGGGCTGTTGACAGGAAACAAAAGTCAGAAGCTTTAATATGCAACAAGTCAAATATCAGATGAAACCTTGGTGACTGCACATACATGCTCTGATTCTTCTGAAAATGACCCCTCTGCTCTTAGCACTGTTATAAATAGCAGCATATGTTCATTTGCAGGAAAAGCATCATAAAAGTACTGAGAGCAAGAAAAGCAGGAACTCTGCACTACAAGCAAGCCTGTCTGCACTTGTTTTTATCAATGATCTGATCTAGAGCACTTTTCCCAGAAATTTTCTTATTCTGACTAGTGTTACAATAAAAACAAGAAAGATGGTCAGATTTTTCTCTTAAAAGCTATGAAGCTATAGATAAAGAAATCTACTTAATTTATTTAGCACACAGTAAGTCAAGAGAAAAAACACAGGGAGAATTTTGTTAACCTAGTGACTAAAAAAAAGCAGTTTTGAAGGAGTCAGTTGTGTCTTGGAAAAGATCTGACACTCACCAGCTGGCAAAGTACAGGATGTCCTCTTAGATCAGTGTCTGGTGCCTGCAGCAAACGCCAGTCTCTGCCCTTGTTGTAGGTAATGAAAGTCTTGACTTGGTCATCTATCTTCCTGTTAGCCAGGAATATGCCTTTGATCCCTGCTACCTAGGAAAAATGGTGAGAGATGAAAAAATACATCGGAAGAACAGGCCAAAAGCATGTCCATCTGAGCACTCTCTGCAGTGGAAGGTCTCTGAAAAAGCAATGAAGTCATCTCAATCCAGCCTTAGAAGATTGTGAATTGCATTAAAAGTACATCTTGATGGTGGCTGCAAATCTGAAAGGCCTTGTGTGGTCTCTCTCTCTGGAAGTAAAAGACAAGGCTGTTCACAGAGCAAATCCCTAGCAAACAGCTCACTCTTACATTTCCTTGAGTGCTTACACATAGGCTGATGATGGGCTTGAAGGTACAGCATGCAGCATGTCATACATGAGCTCTGTGAGCTTGAGAATGCAGCTGGCCCCAATCCATCCCCAGACTGCCAAAACATGGGAAACACGTCACCTCAGAAGTAGTATGAGATCTTTCCACGTAAAAGGGAAAAAAAGTCAACACAGAAGATGGAAATGCTGATATACTGATGTTTTGCAAACTTGATTTCTTCACTTTCTTTCTGCTCCCAAATTCTGACAAAATCAACCCAGTTGTTTCAAATGTTTTGATTTTTGTTAGCAGAACTCATTCTAGCAGAATATGGTCCTGTCAAAACATCCCCAGGAAGATTTCATGTTGAGTCTAGTCTCTGTTGCACAGATATGAAAGTGAGACAGGAAGAAAGAACTTGCTGCAAATCTGCAGCTTCCTGGCAATAGCCAGGATGCAAATCCTTCTACACTGAAGCCCCCAGAGTGATACTACTCTTTGAATGACCCTGTGAAAATCTCTATTGGCATTTAACAGTAAGGACTCTATGATACACAGCTGAGAAATACAGAGTTTGCCCAGGAATAGGAGACAATGAATGTTTATTTTAGATGGTTCATCACAACATAGACATACATTTTTTCAGAGGCAGGAAAATACATGTAGGTGAAAATAAAGTGTAAACCCTGTCCTTCATACTGATCTATGTGTTATTTGTGAGTTTTCTCTCATTGACTTAAACTACCTGGATATTTATAACAAATTGTTGATGTTGTTAAATGAGCATTATTCTGGTCGAAATAAATGTATAGTCCTAACTTCTACATGTAACTGCAAAAACATTTCTCCATGTAAAGGTAGAAGTCAGCCTGCAACCATTACTGTTAGTATTACTGATTAGTTGTTTGCTGCTGGCTAAGAACTGAGCCCTGAATCTCAGCAGATCTTCCATCCAACAGGTAATGACACACCAAAACCAGAATGTTCTGAAGAAACCATGAACCACACAACTGCTCTGCATGGACTGCTGGTGGCAAAAGCTGATGGGGCCTGGCATAAAAATGAGAATGGAACATAATTTGGGTTATAAGTTATTCATCTGTCATCTCTGGGCAAATGGCACCTACAAACATTTGCCTATAGTTAGAAACTGTTCAGTGCTCGCAAAGGTGGAATCCACATTCCCTGCCTGTGAGCATGTCTCTCTAGCTGTCCAAGGGGAAAAAACAGTATTTTGAGTCCTTCTATATAGAGACATCCACTTTACAATGAGAAGGATAATAGTTTTCCCTTTTGGAAATGCCACATAGCTAACCAGTCATTAACTTGAAAGCAACCAGTTGTCACACCTATAGCAGAATGCACTGTATCTATTCACACATGAGTTGACTCAGCTTCAAATCCAGTAAATGCCTCAGGGCTCATCCCAAAACAAATGAAGATCCTGGGAGGTTGGTAAGAGATTTACACTTGCTTGAACTAGCAAGCAGTTGCTGTTCTTTGTAGGGTGACCTTTACTACATACCTCATAAAGGTCAATGACGATATTCCCCTCCAATCCTCGACTGCTTTTCACATTTTCCAAGGCCAGGGTGAAGTAGACCCCTCGGGTGTCCGAGATATACAGGTTGTATGTGTCATTCTGGTTCCACTCTTGAACAGCTGCAAAGACCTGATTCTCATCTGTGCTGATAATATGCATGTCCTGTTAAAAGAAGACAAAAGGCCTGTTAGTGAGGATCTCTGTATTTCTTTGCCCTTCGGGACACGTAGTAATTACCATGAATTATGAAAGAATGGAGATGGAGCATGAATTATAGGTATGTTAAACAACTTTCTGTTAGAGCAAGCCAATAAATTACCACAATTGTGACTTCTCTGCATTTCATTTTTTTAATGATCACCAGCTGGGTGAAGGGTTTTTGCTTTCGTCATTTTTGGTAGCTTCAAGGAATTTCATCCAGTTTCATTTATTATTTATAAATTTGGAAGTCAGTTTTATCACTCATGTAAGATTCACAGCCTTGGAGCCTGGAGTCGTCACAGTCACTAAGCATGGTGTAGCACCAGGCTAAAAGCAGTGATAATTTCCATTCATGTGCTGAACTAATGGGCTTATGCTTCCAAGTGGTAAAGGGATGATTTAAAAAAATCTGGAAATTCACATTTATTTGAAGGTAAGGTATAGGGATCAGTTTTAGCTACTGCTGATAATGAATTTTAATAACACACTTACCTTGAGAATTTGTCTGAGATCAATTATCTCACTATACATGGGCTATCAAATAATCCACCCACTGACCTTTGCTGGATTTCTGATGCTGACCAAGATACAAAAAGTCCACCAAGGGTTCCCCCATCTAGTTCTAATATCAAAGAGATTTGATAGTGCATTTTCTCAGTATTCTTTTAAAACAGGTTCATGGAAATTATTTCCAGAGTAGTGATGAGTATTGAAGCACTTCATCCTTGCTACCATTGTTAACAAACTGACACTGGTTCAGCTAGAAGCAAAATGACTGCGGTTATGTGGGACTCCATTTATCTATTTGTATCTATTAAAACATTCCCCAGGGTGCCAAGAGGCCTTGATTAATTCCTTGCACTGTTTCTGCATCAAGAAACCATAATTCTGGAAGTCTCCCATAGGATGGAGTGACCTGATTTGGGGGAAGAATATCTGGTGGAAGATCAGCTCAATATCCTCCTGCTTAAGAGGCAACTTTATCTTCAGGTACCTAGATGAAAAGTTGGGGTTGATTACATGGGGCTATTTCTAATAGACCTAACATAGCCTATCAATGTGGAAGGGGGCGAAAAAATTTAAGGGCCTAATTCTATCCCACTGAGTGCAATCAGTGGGAGATTTGCCATTTCCCTCAATGAAGGAAGACTAAATCAGGAAGTTTGTTCTTGCCCAACAAAAATAATTTCTGAAAGATTAAATATGTACCCAGCCTATTCCAGCAGTGTGAAAATAAAGCAAAATGTCCAATGACTTCAATCTGTTTTGACCAGTTGCAGTGGAAATATTGCATTACCCTAGTGCCAGCCTCACATATGTACAACTCTAGCAGAGTTCATTAATCTACAGTTGACAGGATAGTTATTACTGTAGAGCAAAAATATTCCAGTGACTAAGGGCAGCATAAACAAGCCTCCCTTACATAGCTAGAAAACTTCTCCATGACACCTAGCTTAAAAATACTTCTGATTTTTAAATGACAAAAGTATACCTGATCTTGCAATATGTACCAATTCTGAACGAGGGCCACCAACAAATCTGATTTATAACAGGCCAACCTGTAACAACATCAGTCAATTAAAGCAGGACAATCAAAGGGCGATCATTCTTTCTATCCGCTTGACTTTTTAGAGAGGTGAAGTTTTCCAGGCCAATGTTCCCAAGGTGGGAACACAAATAATGTTTTTCTCCTGAAAAATGGCAGCAAGGTTTCCAAAAATTGGTGTGTAGTCAGACATTCTGAATCCCACACCACCACCATGGGATAAAAAACAAAATAAACTGTATCTGTGCTATGCAGGTGTCAGTACACTGTGGACTGTGTTCAACCCAAGTGGGAAGAAGTTGAGGTGCAACACTGAGAGACTGAGATGCAAATTTATCACAACTATTAAGTTTTCAGGTACAAGTTAAAGCAAATATGCCTTATCTGCTAGACTGCAGATATCCCATAGGCAATCAGAAGGGTAGATCTGTCCATATACCTTCTCTGGACATGTTCCAGTACCCCAATGTCTTGCTTGAAATGGGGTGCCCAGAACTGGACACAGTACTCAAGGTATGCCCTCACCAGAGGGCCTAGTACAGGGGGACAATAATTTCCCTAGTCCTGCTAGCCACATTATTTTGATAGAGGTCTGGATGTCATTGGTCTTCTTGATCACCTGCACACACTGCTGGCTCATGTTCAGATGCTGTGCACCAGCACCCATAGGTCCTTTTTCACTGTCCTGCTTTCCAGCCACTCTTCCCTCAGCTTGTAGTGCTGCATGAGGTTGTTGTGGCCAAAGTGCAGGACTCAGCATTTCACCTTATTGAACCTCATATAGCAGTCCTCCCAAGATATTACACATCTGCATTCATAAATGGTAGACTCACCTTAGGAAGAGAGTATTTGGGTAATTTAATCTGTGCAAAAGGCTCCCGTCTGTATGACACATAGTAATTTGCTCTTCCACCAGTTGTCACCTGTGGAAACACCAAAGCGAGTGAGTGATGACCCTTCTGAGACACTCTATCCTGACACCTCTCAGAGCGTTTGACAACCTTTCTTTCAGATATCTCTTCTATGACATGCACAGCAGTCCCTAAAATCATCTGTACAACTCCAAAGAAATCCCAGACTTGAGAGAGCTGGAGTACTATTTATTTAAGATGTGCTATTGAACTTTCAATTTTGTCTCTCATGCTTCAAATCCAGTGTGATTTTAACATTTCAGGAAAACAAGAGGGAATAGTGGGTATGAAGTTTAAGGTCCTGAGTGGGAGGAAGATGATGAACAGGTTTCATCACATGGTTGCAGCTCAACTACCTTGGGCAAGTAATTTAAAGTCTCTGTGCTTCTGTTCCTCTCCTGTAAGTAGGAGATAATCCCTCTGCTGTTTCTGAGCCTTGTCTGCACTGTAAGACCCTTGGGGCCAGGATTGTCTTCTAACAACCTTTTATAGTGACTAACAGCAGAGATCCATACTAGCAACACTTAAAGCTACATAAAGTAAATGTGCTCTTGGAAAGCTGGAGTTAAGCTCTTAGATGCCCTTTGCCACTAGGAAACTGGTTTCTCTGAAGTCATACTGCCTCTGAAAGAGGATGTGGGGGGGGGACTGATAGACATCCAAATTTCAAGTTTTATGGACTGAAGGAACTGTAAAGGCTATGCATAAATGCCATGCATCAAAGAGATCTAGCCCTGATAATTTATAAAATATGGGATTTTAAACCTGTCACTAGTCACTCTTGCTGTAAGTGTTCTTTCTGGCACTATTTTAGGCCTGACTGCAACAAGGCTTGCAGTTGTGCTCAGTGTATTTCCCATATTCTGCTGTTTTGGCACTCAGCAGGTCTTAAGATAAAACAATACACAAAGCACTTCTCTATTATATGAAATATCATTTGGTGGCTTCTTAAGTTTCCAATAAAGCTAACAGAAAGGTCCTAGATTCTCTCCTAGATATATTCCCTTTATCTGTCAGTGATATTTCAGAATGAGCTTACAGAGAATATTGCTATAGCATCAATTGTATTCTCAGCAGTGATATCACCTCTAGATAGTGCCTTTTTCCCCTAGAGAAGCTGTAATTCGAAAGACACAGTATTACTGGTCATGAAATTTGATATCTAATCAACTCAAGATAAGGCTTTTCCATTCACAGTCTGAAGAACTGGAAAGAAAGGAAGGTTTACAAATAGGACTGCCTTCTACACTAAGACTTCCCCTTCTGATTTTCTCCCAATTTTCCTTGTAATGTTATCATAACTGCATTTAGCACTCCCAAGAGAAAAACCACACCACCACAACACACCACAACACCACAAAACACACCAAAGTCCATAGGAATGACCCATAAGGTCATAAGAATGACCCAGATCACAGCAAGTAAACTCTACACAGAAAACATATAGCTAAAGCCAAGGGAAAACAGAAACATGAAAATCTAAAAGAATTTGCCTACAGACCAAAAAGAAGCCAGTGGCAGAGAGGGGAGAGAACAGGACTCTTAGTTCATGTAAAGTGCACTGTGGACTAGCACAGTAGCTACCATTTCAGGGTCCTGTTCTTCAGCTGTGAGGATCATAGTATCAGAATGGTTAGGGTTGAAAGGGACCCTAAAGATCAGCTAATTCAAACTCCAATTTGTGAGGTTTAGATTAGATATTACAAAAAACTTCTTCACCTGCAGGGCTGTTGGGCACTGGAGCATGATTCCCAGGGAAGTGGTCAAAGCACCAAGCCTGTCAGAGTTCAAGAAGCATTTGTACAATGCTCAGGGGCATTGGTGATGTCATGTGCAGGACGAGGAGTTAGACTTTGATGACCCTTGTGAGCCCCTTCCAATTCAGTATATTCCATGGTTCTATGAGAGACCCATCCAACTTGGCTTTGAACACTTCCAGGGATGTGACATCTACAGATTCTCTAGGAAACCTGTTCCACTGACTCACCACACTCAAAATGAAGAATTTCTTCCTTGTATCTAATCTAAACCTACTCTTTTTCAGCTTAATGCCATTCCCCCTTGTCCTGTGTTTACATGCCGTTGTAGAAGTCCCTCTGCAGCTTTCTTGTACCCTTTAGGTACTGGAAGGTGCCCTAAGGTCTCCCCAGAGCCCTCCATTCTTCAGGCTGAACAAGGGCTGTGAATGGTATATGCAGGATATATTTCCCATCTAATATTGCCACATCAAAATCAAATTTTCACAGGAGAGAACAGACTATGTCGTTGATTCACACTGAGTCCAACTCAAAGGCAAAAATTAATGTTTGCAGTAATTTTATCTCGCTCAGCTCTACAAGCATTGCTCAAGGGATCCCATACTTCTAGGTCATATTTTCTAAATAGCACAAGGAATATTTAAATATCCCCTCTTCTCATATTGATATTTCTGACCTCCCATGAAAAATCCAAATTCTCAAATGATACATATTTGTCACATGAACTCATTTTACATCGCTCATTATTTCAGCACCAGTTCATTATTTGCAGCAGTCTAGATAGGACTGAATGTGTGCAGTGACTACTTGATAAGGACCCTGGGTTCAATATCCACCTCTTCGAATGTGCTGAGACTTGTTCTTCAACTTGTATTAAAGATGCATGCATTAATACTTACATACTTTGTGGATGCTGTGATGACTAATTGCAATTGGGAACAGCCCAACAATCATCAGGTTAATCCAATGAACACAGAGTTGCAAAACTACCAAGGGGTGATCAAATTTCCTTTTTCTGTGCCAAAGCAGAATCTACTACAAGTCCTCCACACTCAAAAGGCTTTACAGTTTTCTTTGTTTTATCCCCCTGCAAACTGGTACCTGGAAGTTTTTGGTTTTTTTTTTAATTTATAGTTTGTCTGTTTTTTAATGCAGAAAGGTAGGATTAAAATGCTGTTCAAGTTCACTATGCATTAGTTAAACTCCTTTTCACTCCTTTACCTGAACTGGGTCACCTTGACAAAGGTTTAGAAATAGAAATCTTTGTGGTCTGTGGTCTTTCTGAGCCAGTTAATATGAGCCACCCACAATTCTGTTGGCAGGAGTTATGTGAAGCTTTTCCCAGCCAGGATCTCATCTTTGCATGATTTACATGCACTGTTATAACAGTTCCAAAAAAATGATCTGGCCTTCAATAAAGTTCTGGCAAACACTGTGGTAGACAATGAATTTTGGAAGACCCAACTTAATTTATTTTGATGAACTTTTCCTTTTCCTATGAGCAAACTGTCCTACACTGTAAATCCCAGAGATTATGATAGTGTTTTGCCCTCCAATGCCTCCTTTCAGTTCACATTTGATGAATGTCACCCAATTATTTGCTGTGAGCTCATCTGTCATGCTCAGTACAGAATTAGCTGGGTTTTTCTTTTTCCTCCTCCACTGCTAATGACCAGATCGTTAATCTGTTTTTCTGGATTTCTACTTTATGTGTTTAACTGGGCTTCTGGCCAGTGGAAATGATTCCTATGGACAAACGTGTTTGTCATTAACCACATCTGTTTTTCCTAACCTGTGTTCTATCTTTTCCCTCCACTCATGATCAACTGCTTTTCTTTAACACTTCCACATTTTGTATCAAAACAAAATCTAATCTAACTTATATCAGCTGACACTTAACAACAGAAACATGAGAAATCTCTCTTTAAAAGCCTCAAAGGTTTCAGTATGTTGCCTCATTCCCCCCACCCCGACCTGTAATGAGAAAGTGGGCATCAAACATAGAAGAGAACAAAGATGTTCAAAGGCTGCAGAGAATTACAGAAAATTTGTCATGGAATCTATTTATCTCCATAATTTCTGTGACATGTCTAGAAACACACTAAGCCATTTCTCATGTTAATGGTTGAATGCAATTCTTTCAAACAGGTTTTGTTTCCTTTTTTTTTTTCTTTCTAAGACTGAAGTTCATCTCAAGCAAAAAACCAAATGTGGTTTCTAAAAGAGTTGCAGAGCAAGCAGAATGAGTCAAGGAATTCCGGAATGTAAAGATGCCCTAGATGACATCAGGAACTGTAGACCACAGTGTACCCGGCTTCATTCTCATCTTGCTGGCTAACTGATGCTGGGACTCATAATTTCCAATGTAAGGTAGGTATTGATGTAAAAAAACATGGAAGTACTAAATCTCTGAAATGGCCCTGGGCTAAACAAGACCCCGTCTGCCTCTTGCTGCTCAAAGACCTTGCAGAGAAGTGAGCAGAAAAGTTGTAGAACGAAATTTTAAATGTCTTGCTGACAGTAAGTAGTTGATAATATATAGTTGATGTTATTTTCAATAAACACCTCACTTGTTTCACTTGAGGTGATTTCCTCTGCTTGTAGAGTTCCCTCCTTCCTAGTAACATAAAATGAATTGGTAGAAGTCAAAAGTTGAGAAACATTATCTGTATCGTAATGACATCCTGGATCTGTGTTCTCCAACTCCATAAGGAGCGCTGGAATTCTCCACACTGCTTTAATTTTAGGTTCTCTTTCTCCTTCTGGTGGGCATAAAATCCCCTAAATCACATTGTGGATTAAAACATGGAGGAGTGATGACAAGTTCAGCAGACAGGCTGTTCTACTCACACCTTTAGTGAGGGATTTTGCTGTTCTTCTGAGCCAGCAACTGCCTAGGCCTTGCACAGGTTTGGCAGGATGAGGATTGAAAAGTTGTGCCCTGTCTTCCAAGCTTAACCACAATGCTAGTTATGAGAGGTTCAGAAGATGAGGAAGAACACATCTACATGAGCCTAGTGTAATGTTCTTCCTTCTTGATTATCCACCATGGCCAGGAAAAAGGATCTTCCAAATATTTCTGTGTATTCTGAGGCTCTCCAGTGCCCCAGCATGAATCCCATCATGATAGGTAGCATCTAGTCTGAATTTCCTGTAGTTTCCATTAATATCATACCTGCTGCAGAGTCATTAAAGCAATATGCAATTATCTGAGTGTGCTGTGGAGACACACAGATTAGTGTTTCGCTGTGCAAA